AGAGAGAGGATCATATACAATTTCTCTCAAGAGGAGGCATTTATGCAGTTTTGAGAAACTAAGAGGATTAACAGAAGAAGGTGAGATGAGAAAGACGTGCAGGGTGAGGAATGAGCACGAGCCAACGCTGAGGTATGAAAGGACAGCAGCTGCGTCCCTAGATCACATGCGGATTGGCACAGCGAGTGTGAAGCACAGGGTAGGGAGGGCCTAGAACAGGTGAGAAACGCAGAGGCAGGTTGGGGGTTTGGGTGTCATCCTAAGTAGGGAGTACAGATTTTATTCTCCAGTAATGAGAAGAGTTTTAATCGCTCTGGCAATAGTGAGATAGGCAGATATCAAAGATGAGAAGCAGACACAGCAACATCCCTGTGATACTTATAGATACAGCCCACGCTAGAGATGAAGAGCCAGACTAGGGCAAACTGGCTTCACCAGCTTCTTCTCTGAAAACAGAGCCTTTTCTCCAAAGTTCAGTTTGTACCAAGGGTTCATTGCTTCCCTTCTCTCAAGGATCCTCCTTTTCTTGTCTGTTCAATCTCTTCCCACAGATTTATAATTCACCGAATCTTTGTCCAACGCCTATAGACAAGTGAAAGTCTCTCCATTATTTCAAAAAAGAAAAAAAATGACTTTCTTCTGCCTCAAGCTACCATCCCATAATCTTCTTCCCTTACCATCAGCCTTTCTTAAAAGAATTAGCTACACGTGTTGTTTCCAAAGCAACATGGAAGAAGTCCTCAGTGCCTTCAGTGTTATTGGGCCTCATCATTCATCTGAAACCAGTTGCACTCTCAAAGGCCACCAGGCTGGTCCCCTTGTCATTATAATAGAAAGGCTGTACACTGAAGAAGTAAAGTTAAGTCTCCCCGTACTTTGCAATAACTACTCTATGCTGGATCCTGGATACATCAGTTTAAGATGGGTGCTGAAAAACAGACGGTTCAGGTGAATAACTAGCACATTAAGAGGAATGACTGAAAGGGAGGACTGCATAATCTGATAAGATGAAAACTTCTAAAAGGACAGCCTGAAGGAGTAAGATTACAGTTTGTAACTGCTTGGGATGTTGTTAATGCGAGAGAGCTCTAGCAGGTAGAAAGGAGCAAGATCAGTGGATTGCTATTACTGGGGAGTGTCAAGGCACAGTTCAAGGTGATACAAGCGAGTATTTTTAAGTAGCCATTGTAAAAAAAGTCATCTGAAAATGTTTATACAGAAATTGATCACTACACGTCAGCATTGTCTAAAGCCTTCTCAGTATGGGATCTCAGCATCATCTGTGAGCTTGTTAGAAATGCAGACTCCTAGGCCCCATGGCAGACACTGAATCCGAATCTGCATTTACCAAGATTACCTGGAGAGTCCTTTGACATTAAAGTTTGAGAAGCACTGGCTTAAGGGAGACTTGAAACTAGCTGTGAGTGAATTATGTCTTGAGAGGCCCTTTCAGATATTAATTTATAGTAAGCAAAGCTCACTGTTCCGGGGATCTAAAAGCTGTTTTATCTCATTTCTGCCTACTAGGTCAAAATACTGTTTTATTGATTTCATAGTCTCACCTTTAGCGCATAATTTTTTAATACCTGCTTAAACAACAGTCAAAGCTTATACAAACATTTCAAATGCTAATTTTTTATTAGGGTAAATATTTTGTTAAAAACTGAGTTAAGAAAGCTTACGATAGTATGTTTACAACATAGCATTAAACAAATAAAAAATGTCAGCAGAAGGAAAATAAGGGTAGGAAAGCAAGATGGATTTCTATGGCTGGTATTTAAAATACATTATCATGACTCCTGACCGCTTGCTAATTGAGGGCTAGGTTTGCTTCCAAGTTTTCTAGCAGCCAATTCAAACATGATATCTTCTAGAATGTCCATTAAGAATGCCATGATTAATGGCCCTAAGCATGTACAAAATAGACTCCATTAAATATATTCAAAAAGTTGAATAGAAGATTTACGCTTTATACTGAATTAACTTTAAGACTTTCTATTGTGTATTTTAAAATATTCTAATGAATCATACTTACTGGCATAATTACACTTTCTTTTTTAGACAGACTAAACAGCAGAGTGACTCAATGTTGACAAGTGGTAAAATTTAAAGACAATCACATCGAACTTAAGACCTAAGAAAGAGGAAAAGAATGAAACTTACCAAATAGATTTCCTAAACTCGTATCCATTTTTATTTCGAATACTTGAGAAATAACATAAAATGTCAGTAAAAATACTGCTACAGCTACCACCAACTTTGCAGCACCTAGATAAAGGGCAGAAATAATTCAGAATGAGCTTATGAACCCCCAGGACTTCTATAACATTTCAATGAAAAATGTAAGTTTATAAAAAAAACTTTTAAGACGAATAAATTTTTACTTTTATCTATTGGTGCTTAATCTAATTTGATACAACAAAAATTCTACCAAATATCCATCAAAATAAGGGATTACCCTGATCAAAGAGTTATCAGATTGTCTAGAAATCTAGACAAAGTACTGCTTGAGTCCTCTGCCTAATTTTACATGCAAAAAAATTACCTGCCATTGACTGCTGGCTGACTACACAAAAGTATCATGGCTAATGAAAGACTGCCACCAAGTATGTTGGATGACCCATTCCTAAGCCTTTTCCAGTAAAAAGGGCAATAGCACTTATACGGGAATGATACCAAAACACCGGACCAGAATGGAGAAGCTAGAGCAACAGCAGAATGTCCACTAAGCAAGGAGTTCTCAAGTGAAATGTCCTATCGCCAGCCAACCTACCTCTTGGAGCTTTACGAGCACTTCTGTTATGGTGAACAACGAGGTATTCTCCCTCATATTTGACACCTAGTTCAAGACAGTCATTCTCCACTGCTGGGGGCTTTATCTGGCACCTATCACATATGCTTCATAATGTGGTTCTAAGGTAAGCTCCGTGAAGAAAGTCGCTCAGTTTTCATACCTTTATATCTTTAATCACTTTTGCGTGCCTTACAAATAGCACTGCTATTAACTAATTTACTGCTCAATACGTATCATCATTTGTCCTTTTTCTCCACAGCTAAACAGATCCAGGAGAGAAAAAGAAAAAGTGCAAGACAGGAAAGGAAAAAGAAAGTGACGGGAAAGGAAAGAGAAAGTTACAGGAAAGAAACTTCTTCCTCTCACCCTTAGTATTTCAGAGACATCATATTATGTTATTCGGGAACAATATGAGTATTTCTCTGTCCAATTCCCATTACTCTCTCTTACCAAAAGTTTAATTTATATTGATATAAAAAGGGTGGATAGGATCAGCAGTCACTTCATCATCCTTAAGATAACAAAGGCCCAGAGGTTGAGGCAAGTGCCCAAGATCACAGATAATGTAGTGGCAGCACAAGGACCAGAATCCAGGGATCATGACACAGTTCAGTGCTTTGTACAATACTCTGTTCTAACACCAAATTACTACATTCTCCAAAAACACTGCTAAAACTCAACTTACTGGGTAAGGAAGAGTGCAAAAAGCACTATACCCCTGCTAATTTCATAAACTTAAAGAAATTAGGACTAACTCTTAGAGAATGAACTGATGATGCCCAGAAAGGCTGAGGACATTGCTGTTCTGTGTTCTAAGAAATGTTCTGTTCATTTCTGTTGAGAAACACTCTACAAATATAGAAATGAAGTGGCAATGAAGAAGCCCAAATCTAAACTAATCACCCTCCCCTTCATTTTCTATCTTTTCTGTTCCAAAAACTGTGCTTCTTAAGACAGGAAAATTCCATGAGGCTTTGAAACCTTCCCCATACAGTATCTGGCAGAGTGCCTTGTACATAGCAATACCTTCAACAGGTGTCTACTATATAGATGAACGGTAACTGTTGTCATATTTCTTCTTGATCATTTAAGAATGAGGGCCTAGAGATTATATATCAGATGACAGAGAGTCTTAACATCTCATTTTCTAGCAATTGTGGGCAGATGCAACTAGAGATAAACTTTCTCTATCCCTTAAAGCAGATATACGAAATCTTTGTTGTTTACTATTGAAATATTAAATACCAAGTCTATAATATATAAAAGTTCTAGACTAAATCCAATACCAAACTAAACCTGAGCCTACACTAAACAAGCTATATATAGCATATATATGTACATATATACATACATATACTATATCACACACACACATATATGTAATACACAGGTACACCGTTTACTTAGTGCCTACTGTAGACCTAAATACTTTATAAGCATAATACCACTCACACAGCTTTTCGAGATATTATTTTCATTTTACAAGAAAAACAAGGCTAAGAATTTAGATGCATGTCTATGTTCATATAACCGGTCAGTGGTAGATCTTAAACCAAGATCCATTCACTTACAGTGGACCGTCAGGAGAACCAGGAAGACACAAAAGCTCTAAGAGAAAGAAGAGCTGGAGGAGGAGAAACTAACTGGTAAAAGCAGGTGGTCCCTGAGAGGGGAAGGCCGGTGAAGACCAGCAGAGCCTCCGTAAGGCAGAGTTCCGGAACATGTGTTACAGAACGTCTGCCCCAGAGCTGATCATCATCCAGTTCTCGACTTTGCGGGGGCCTGCCCATTCCGCAAGGTTCTCATCCCTGACTTTCCACAAGATTCCTTCTTTATACCAGCCATGGACCACACTAATCTGAGTGTTTCCCTACTTTTCTCATTTGATGCCTCACTGTAAGGATAATGACTATAAGGATATTTCAAACCAACCAGGATATTTCTTTTAATTAGAATTAGTTTAAAAGCAATAAACTAATAGCTAATCTTCCTTATTCATTCATTAAAAGCAATTCCCTGAAGATCTACAGTACGAACAGTGCCAAACAAGTAAGCACTCAGTGAATAATTACATCAATTAATGTTGCTATTGTCAGAATCAGAGAAATGGACTAGATAAAAAAGTTCATTTCAACTAGAATGAATATAGTATCATATGAGAAAGAGAAACTAGTTTTATTTTAAATAATAAAATCATCTAGAAACATGTAATCATAAATAGTCCTGCTATATTTGAAGATCTTTTTTTTAAAAGACATTACAACATGTTTTTTTAAACCATAAATAAGCTCTTGGTTTCTGGGAATATTTTCCCTTAATAACTGTACAGCTACTCAAAAAAGAATGTTTTTTTATAAGTTCATGACCAAGAGATCCAGATTTTCAAATTTCTACAAAGGCATTTGTGAACACCCCTCAGTTATCTGTATTTAATAATCATGTTTAATCACCGGCACCCGATTCTACATAATTATGGCTGAATCAAGAAGACTTGTTGCTACCCACCCTGACTGTAGATACTTCTAAGAGATTTCCTGTGGGAGACCACAGGAAAAAACTTTGTTTGCTGGTGAGAAGATGATAATTAAAGAAAGACTACTTTGATTTTGAGAAATTACAAGTTATCTCCTATGTTGGACACACACTTAGCAGAATTTCTATGTAAAGAGTGCATTTTTCTTTAGGGCCTGTGCTGTGCTGGGGGAAGGTGGGAGTGGCAGGATCACGCTTATTTTCACTATAGGTAGGAAGAGGTCATCAGCCCCTCCAGTTATTATGGATCTGCCTTTTTATAATGTTTAAGGATAACTACCTTAATACTATGAACAGCAAGTGGTGTTTTTCAATTTCCTCACTATGCTGCCTAAGGAACAGATGTCCCTACACTTAACCTCACTTAGGCAGACTGAACTTGAACTAGCAAAAATACATTTTGTTGATTCCTTCAATATTCTAGTTTTATGTATATACGTAGGAAAAATTTAAGCTTTTAAACTTTACAGCTCACTTCCTCAACAAGCTAGAACTTAGGAAAAACAAAAATCAGCCCTCCTAGGTTATCAAATGATTCTTTATATAGACATTATATGTGTATCATTAGGCAAATAAGCTTAATGGATAAGAATATAAACTTCGAAACCACAACTTAAATTATTTAGCATAACTTCAACAAAAGTGCCCCCAAACATTTATGTAACATTCACTAAATGACCAATTCATGATTTGCCAACTACATTAAAAAGTAGAGGCTAAATGATGATTTAGTTTGTTATATTTCAGCTTTGCACTCAATATAGAATAGATTATTTACCCTCTCCTATAGTCATTACTAAATGAACAGGTTACACAAAAAGCAAAATTATTTCTATGAATTAAATCTCTTACCTGCTACCCTCATCTTCGATTTTTCAATCTATGGCACTTTTCATTAAATAACTCCTAAAATCAAAAGAAAAGGCATACAGATTAGGTCTACAAGCAGCGTTCCTCTTTCGACTCAGTGGGGTGTACATAGTAAACTAATTAAATAACTGTCATGACATTTCTAAGTATTCTACCAGTTACTGATAGCTAATGGAAAAACTCTTATCACTGGGCCTGTCTCCTTCCACTGGACCACAAAAGCTACTGAGAGGGCAGTCATGTCTTAACATTGCTCTGTCCCCCAGCTCCCTAACTGAATGAACAAATGAAGAAAAAACTGCCATCAAGTATGTGAAGAGAAGATAATGCCTTATTACTCTCAATAATTACACATCTATAAAGATCTTTGGATACTTAGTTGCAAACTTTCGGTTTACAGTTGAGGTCCATGGAGGTTAAGCTGCTCATCCAGCCACGGAACAAATTATTTGCAGAATGGGGCAGGATTTAGGTCTGCTGGCTCCCGCTCCAGGGCTCACTCACTTCACTATACGATGCCACTATTTTTTTAGTGAGACATAATTTAGGTGTCACTATGAAAAGCACTTTTGGGGCTTCTTATTTTAATACCAGGGTTCTCTTCCTCTTCATGTTTTTAAGTTTTTAAAAGAATATATTCAGAAGTATAGACTCACAATTTAAAATATCCCAGCAATTATCACCTACATTATCCACCAGTGAAGAAATTACTCTTTGATTTTATCCTAATAACAACAAGCAATAGATACTGGGGAAAAAAAATTCTGTGTATGTGTATTTCCCTCCTAAGAAATAGTTCAAGAAAGGTAAAATTTTAAAAAGCAAATGGAAAAGCAAGTAAATGAGCCTGACAGGAAATTCATGCCCAAGTTTAGCTAGAGAGCTACCACAGTGTACCCAACCTACTGTACAGGAAAGGAATGCAAAAGAAAATTTTGATTAACAAATCACATTAATCAAAAATACATCTTTATTTTAGACTATTTTCATACTGATTGATGTTTGATGTTGAGGTCTGATCTAGTAACACATAGAATGTGTCAAATAAAAATAATGGCAAACTCCTGAAGGACACTAAAAGGAAGTGAGAAATCCTGTTTTCTTAGCCACCAATAAGAAATAAGCAGGGTAGAGAGGGGTGGCAAGCATCCAAATGATGAATGCTCTTACGCTAACTCCCTTTCTTCTCCCCAGCCTACCCTGACGAAAATATCAACACTATTGATTTCTCTACCTTTGTTAGTTTCTGAACATCTTCCACATAATAGAAAAAGTCCATGTTCTCTATCTATTTAAACTAACTACTTAGCCGCAGGCTCAGAAAGTGTCAAAAGGAAACAAGAGATTCTCAAGTATCCACAAACTGTCACGTAAAAGTGGAAAAAAAAAACCTCAGCTTTTCAAGTGAAAACCCCATGTGGCTATAAATCCTCTTTTGACTCCCAGTTAAAATGGACACTATGTTCACAACACACATGCCTTTCCTCCCAGCTAATACTCCAAAATAATAGGAAAATTTCTTTGAGAGCGTGATAGAGTTGGGCAGACATTTGCTGTTTTATTTCACTGTTTCCATGACCCGCTGGGGCCCCACCTGTACAATTAAAGTCACTGCCGCATAGACCTGCCATCTGTTTGCACTGCCCAACATGCCTCTTCCTAAACTGATCACTAGAGTAAGACTGCAATATAAGCAACGACAACTGTCTAGCTGAATTCGTGTTTTCCATTCAATTTCTCAGAAACACTTAGTAAAATCTCTAAATCAAAATCTCATCTCAGTCATAACATTTTTAATTAGTTTGCTTAACTAATGTTGCAAAACCAGTGTTGCAAAAATGCAAACCAGTATAAAGAGTATTGAATATATCTGAAAGCAAATCAAGGAGCGTGTTTATGATGCGCTACTTCCAAATCATTCCTAACTTGTCATTTTAGGAGGACATTTTAAAACAAAGAAAATCATGACATATAATTATCTTAGGGGGAAACAAACACCAACTTAATGGAATTCGGTATAAACCTGAAGCTGAACCTCCAACAATCAGGTGGGAACAGAACAGGTCCACAGAAAATGATCACAGCAATAAAAGGATAAAAATACCTCTGCTAGAAATTCAGAGCTCTTTAATCCAGAAGAGCTCTTTAATCCAGGTAAAAGAATTTCAGAGCTCTTTAATCCAGGTAAAAGAATTTATAATTTTTCTTATATGTTCATTAAAAGGTAGAGATACAGAAATTAGAGCCACTTATCAAAACTAGAATACTGATGGTAAGGGAAAATAATTTCAGGGCAGATTAAAACAAAAAACCAAAAACAACAGATAGTACGTTTGTGAAACACATATAGGCCCAAACAAGAAGATTCAGTGTCTTAGATAAATGACTAGATCAGATCAGGTTGCTGATTTGTAAATGCACAAGGATCTCAGAGTCCACTGCAAGGAGGGCCACTGTGACAGCCCTGAGCAGTGAAACACTATTCTGGATAAACATTAAATAAGTATGTGACCTAACCTCAAGAAGGGAGCCTCAGTTAGGGTCTCAGACTGATAAACTGGATTTCTTTGAATGTTTTGTAATTTTACCATTTCCTTTAGCCCAAATATCTACTATAGTCTAATTTAGGAAAGTTTTGTTAAAATTAGACCTGAATAAGCAGTTACGGTCCTAGAATCAATTAACTTCAGGAACAAGCAATAAGAACACAGGTCAAGCGATATTTTCATTCTTTTCTTAATGAGTGGACCCCAGCTACATTGTATGAATTATAACACCATTCTACGTCAACAAAATGAGCCACAGAAATAATTATCAGAAGGGGAAGGTCTTGCCAGTTAACATAAACCATGCATGTAGCACAGCAGTTCATGCACACTTATTTTATATAATCTTCCCAAACACTCCATTTGTAGTGGGTGTTACAATGGCATTACAGATGAGGTCGAATGATTTGTCTAAGGTCATATGAAAGATAAAGAAGCTGATACTACAAACAAATCCACTTCCCTTTCGCCCCAGCAGCTTACTGACATACTTTGATATAAGAAGCTCATTGACAGAAGTCCATGCCAGTCAATTTAGCTTTCGCAGATGATTGCTCTGGGAATTGCTAATCTCTGCTGTCAACTGGCCACTCCAGAGATCTGGCAGTTTGTCAAAATGACTAAGCATGTGTATTAGAACCTCCGTCCAACACAGAAAGGATGCAAGAAAATGAAGTACACGGACATACCTATTGATGCATCTAATGTTAACAAACAATAACTACTTAATTAAACCAGAAGAAAATACTACAAATTATACTCCGTATATATAAACTATTATTCAATTCAACTTTATCTCAGTGCTGGCAAAAATGCAGTTTTAAATGAATTAACTGAGTAAAGTTCATACAATTCTAATATTCGTGTGAGCTGGGGCTTTTCAAGAAGACTAAGAGGAAAAAAAAAGGTCAAAACACAAGCAGATAAAGTATATTCAGGACTAGCAATGGTTAATTATGTGTCAACTTGACTGGGTCACAGGGTCCCCAAACATTATTCTGGGTATGTGTGTGAGAGTGTTTCGGGTGTTTCTGGATGAGATTAACATGAGTAATGCAGAGTGCCCTCCCCAAAGTGAGTGGGCCTCATCCGATGTGTTGGAGGCCTAAACAGGACAAAAAAGGCTAAGGGAGAACGCACTCTGTCTCTGAGCTGGGACATCAGGATTTCACCTGTCTCCAGACTTGGACTGAAACTTACACCATCAGTTCTCAGGCCTTTGAACTCTACCAATGACTCTCCTGGGTCTCCTGCCTGCCAACTGCAGAGCCTTTGATTTCTTAGTCTTTACAACTGCATGAACCAATTCCTTCTGTCTGTCTGTCTGTCTATCTAATCTATCTCCTATTGGTTCTGTTTCTCTGGAGAACCCAGACTAACACTGCACCCCTCAAAATCAGAATGTAAAACATTCCAGAACCTAGACACATTTCTGTCTTTTCTATATAGATGGACAGTTTCATTTATAAGAATGAGAGATTTTTTCTTTTTTTTGAGGATCCATTATATTGTTTCTCATGGAGTATATGCTTCTTCCATGGAGAGCAATCGATTAGGAAAATATAGAACACAGAATGCAAAAGACTAAATTTTCAGTTCCAGGGCAGTTAAAGAGAGATAATACTAAAATCACAAAAGAATGATACAACTAAGTCACTAGGTTATTCTGATTTTACATTTACAAACAAAAATGTTATTAAAAAAATTATTTGCAAAAATACCTGCATTTATGTGAATAAAATAGAGCCAGTGTTGGCAAACTTTTTCTGTAAGAAGGGCAGACAGAATATTTTAGGCCACAATGTCTCTATTGCAACCACTATGCTTTGCATTCTAGTTAGAAAGCAGTCATTCTACATTTTCCTCATCAGTTGCTCTCCATGGAATAAGCATATACTCCATGAGAAACAATATAATGGATTCTTTCAAAAGGAAAAAAATCCTCCCATTCCTATGAAGCTGTCCATCTATAAAAAAAGGCAGAAATGCATCTAGGTTCTGGAACATTTTCCAAAGTGATCACAGGAGATATTTAAAAAAGAGGGATAAAATTAAATCTTATCTCCCATTTCATTAACTGTAAAATCATGTTGGGTGAGGAGAAACTGACAGTTTTCTTTATATAGGTATTTAAAAGTGATTATTTTAAGTAATGCTTAAAAAGGAAGGACAGGTTAACCGTGCATCTGTTTAGCTTTTAAAATTCCAAATATTTATCTTTTAAAATGTTTTCTTACATAAAAAGTTACCACCACAGACTGCTATAAAGTACCCTGTCTCACCCAGACGCTGCTATACAAACATCTTGCCAGGCTGAATAAATTCTGAAATAACAAAATGAAGAGGGGTAAGAAGGTTGCATTCACTTGAAAGAATCTTAACATTTAAAAAACTGAGTATGATGTCTGAGTTGCTTCCACTGTTACAAATATTGTGAATTTAATAAAATTTGGTGTTAACACTAAATGCTTAATAGAAAAAATCCAATTA